AGTGCACGGAAGAGGAGCTCAACTCACATAGCTCGCTTCTATCTCTCAAAATGGATTCTTATTCTTATTTATTTACAACTAGTTCTGTTTTTACACGGTGTTTTATTACTCGATTTTAATATAACATTGTTTGAAAATTTAAATTTGCAAATACATATATTTCTTTAGATATAAGGAACCAATCACCTCTTTTGCATATTATCTATGTCTTTTTTTACACGGTTGCTTCTGGAACCAATCTACCGTGTAAAAACCGAATTAGGTGTATTTTAATAATATTATGTATATAATAATAATTAAGATGAGGAAAAGGAGGAAAGCAGAGCCCCCTCTCTGTTATTGTTCAGCACTGATCAGCAAATAATCTTACAGAAGTACCAGGACTGGCGATTCTGAAATTAGGTAAATTCATTAGTAGCACGGAGTGTTTAATGGCGGATTAATAACAAGGAAGGGGATGATGCCATATATCACAATGAGAGTTTTCTAATCATCTTAGCCTCGGAATAGCTAGCTCTATTGGCAATCAAATTTTTGCACGCTAGCTTGGAAATTATCCTTTCCTGTTTGGCTGTCTCTCCTTAAGTAATCGAATTATCTTTATTTTAAGGTCTAATAACGCCCCTGACCGTTTTTGCTGTAAATCGGGACATAGCTAGCCGGATGGCATCGGAGGCGTTAATAGAGGAGTTAATTAAATCAAATAGAAATAAAAAATGATTTCTTATTGTTTTACCTAGATATGTGATAGGTCCTGGAAACAAATAGTATATTAGTTTTATTCAGAAATGTCTGCTCTTTTAATGAGTCTGATTTTAGCTGGAGGTCTGCTGCTTGATGAGTCTGGCATTCAAAATTCCAACGGAAAAGGGGGCATAGTTTAAAAATGTTGAAGATTCATACACGATTCTTTAACCGGGATTATTATTATTTATTGTATTTGTTTGGAAAATGACAGGATCTTCAATTTTTTATTCGAAAGCAGTTGAAACATCATATTAAAATTTTAAATTTTATTCCCATAAAAATCACATTTGTATCTTACAGTTAGGCCTGTGATTGCTGGCCACTGCGTCCGCTAAAGTGCGCCATAAAACGTCAAAACGAATAAATTGCTTAATCCTCACACCGATCGCCGATAAAGTATAAATTCGCCATAAATCCGCTTCGCGCACGGACTTGACATTGATTTCTATTCAGATCGGGTAGCATAAACGGTAGCTGCCACGATTTTCACACAACTGACAATTCCCGATACTTTACCCACGCCAATCATTCTGACTTTTGCATTTGATCATAAATCATGATCTAAGCCAAGCTATAGTACAGGAGGCAGAATGCTTCAAAGCAAATTAAAGTGATCGCAGCAAGGATCGTTTGACCGCAAGTGTTGAGGGGAGTGGTCGGAACGGGAGGGGTCGGGGGCGAATGAGAAAAGCTTTTAAGCGCAGGCAAATAATCTTGTTTAAATATGGATTTTGGGTGTTTATGACTAAGCAAGTTTGTCAGTCAGTCAGGCAGAGAGGGTACGAAGCAGCAGAGCTGGACCAGCAGACCATCCAGTCAGCCATCAAGCAGCCAACAGGGGCAGCAGTCGCTCAACATGTTGCCTGGCCTGGCATTGAGGATGAAGCATCCATCCTCTTGCCTCTTCTCCATTTCTGCATGCTTCAGTGCATTGCTGATCGAGCGTATAAATTTTGAAAACGGTCAGCAGAATCATCAGTTTAGATCGGATGGGAGAAACTGCGGACTGCTCTTGCTCCGATGCTGATTCTACGGCTGCAGCTGCCAAGCTGACGACAGCAAACATCAAATGTTCTGCACAACGATGGCCAAGAGCAGCGGCTACAACTCCAACAACAACTCCAACAGCACAAAGTTGGGCGCACGCGTGGCGCGCCACAGGTGAACCGAACGAAGTGCAGACGTTGCATGCAACACATACTCGCAGAGAAAACTGGCGATCTTGTAAGTCGTAACTCCTGCACCGTTCACAGTGGTCCCATTTTCAAAAGAAACTGAAACGTTTTGACAATATTTTGATTGTTCTTATCACTGCAAAGAATATATCGTTAGGTTTTCTAATAAAACATGAACACTTAAAAGAAATAGTTATACATTGAATTGTTTATGTTACAGTTCCATTTCGCCAATTCCATTTCATAAAACTTTAGAAAACCTGCTTAGTTCCTTACTAGCAGGCCCCATTCTCTTTGTTTTCTTAAACAGAAATCTTACTTAAATACACCTAATTTTGTTTTTACATGGTAGATTAGTTCTAGAAAAACTCCTGTAAAAAAAACCGTGTAAAAACACATTGATCATATGTTATTTTAAATAATAAATATTTAACCGTGATAATCAAAACCATGTAAAAACAGAATTAGGTATAAATGTCTAACTTTATAAAGAATTTATTTATTTAATTATTAAATCAAATGTTTTTAAAAATCAGTAACAAGTTTATTTTTTGCACCTCATAATAATAAACATTTTATTTTATCTTTCCTATACTCGGCATAACTGAAATGTTTTTGAAAACCATAAATATTCAGAAAAAGATATGAACCTACATATGTATTACTAGCCTAAAACACTAGGTGAGCTTTACTTTCCATGTGTGAAGAAAGTTGTGTTGGTATAAGTAAGTTGCAAAAAATTGATTTTTTGGCCACATATGACTCAGCCACGGTATTCGGCAGATTCATCCGATCCGGGGAAGGCGCCACGAGCCGGTTGAAGCATTCCCGATCGAGCAACTGTTTGTAATTTGTTGTTTTAATAATCAATAAGTTGTTGTTGCTTATTTCATGCAAAGCATGGCAACAAAAAGTTGTCAGAATCCTTTCAAAATATCTTCAAATCAAATCGGTTGATTTGAAGGTTGGAAAAAAAATTAAAGGGTGGACAGTTTTATTTTACTTTCACAAACAGATTCGAAGCTGTTTTGAAAAAGGTAATACGTGAAAATTGGGATGAGAAAGTAACAACTTTAAGGTTTCAAAAAAGTGAGAATATAACCAAGGATGATAGTTAAGCTACTTGTATGTTCTAATTGATATATATATATATACTTGTATATATATATATATATATTTATTGCCAGGATGATAGGCTATGTTCTAATTGATATATATTTGTATTGCCACATTGTTGGCAGCAAGCAGAGGACTTTTCGTTTGTCCAATATATAGCATTCTGGAAAAAAGGGGGCTGAAGTACAGACTTTAAGTATTTACTTTAAAGTTATTTGGTGCCCACTGTACGGCAGACAGCCCTAGCACGCATTGAGCTGCCTGGCGGACTTTGCATTATTTGCGCACATCAAATAAAATGTGGCAAACAGCTTTTTGTGGCGACTCCGGCAAGAAATTAAGTCTTACAAAAATTAAATAACCACTTGCTTGAAATAAATGCAAGCAAAGGCATACACACACACACACATGCGCGCATGAGAGTGCAGGCATAGTTGTTGTTATTGCTGTTACTGGCCATTGGCCGTTGGTTCCTGCAGTTAAGAGATGCGTTGTGCCAGATAAAGCGCAGCTAGGGAAGAGCGGCAAAAGCAACAACAACAACAACAAGAAGAAGGCCAGAACTGTCTGGGCCAAAGTCGTTTTGCAAAGGCGTAACGGATATTTGTGGGATTTTCACGCATTTCCACATTTTCGCACATTTTCGTGTCGACCAAATCAATTTGAAGCATAGCCAGCAAAGGATGGAAAACAAAGATGAAGAGATGAAACCTTTTTCCCCATTTTCCCGTGAAGGCGTCAATTTCTTAACTTAATTAGCATGAAATTGTAAGGCAATCATATTTGCAAGAATAAGTTAATTATATAAATAAGTATTATTAATATTTATTTAAAGATAAGTTTACTAAGAAGAAGAATTTTTTAGCCCATTAAACTAAATTACAGCATAGCTGGATTATCTAAATATTATTATTATTATTAATATTTATTTTTCTTAAATAAATCTACTGAGAAGACGATTTTTTTTAATGAACAAATATAATGCTTTGGAAATTAGATAAATACAATAATGTTGAAATAACTTAAGCTTAAATAGCTTTAAACGCATTGGTCATTGGACTGTTTTCTATCGAAGGACCAATTGAGCCCATTAAAAATATTAATTAACATTTTTCTGCACGGAAATCAAGAACTTTCTTTTGCAACAAAGTATCTAATTATTTTGAAACAGCAAAAATAAACTTTTTGTTAAATATTTCTTGAATAATTCTTTCCTTATAATATCATTGCTTTTACAAAAATAGTTAAATTATAAATGAATAATGAATTATAAATAATATAAAAATAGTTAACTTAAATGAGGAAGCATTGTAGCTGGAAAAGAGGGGAAAAAAGTTTTCCGCTACAACCATATAATATGCCATTTGATGTCATGACAGATTCTAATAAATCTTAAGATTGTAATGCGGCATTATCGAAAACTTATAAACTTCAATGGAATCTTTATGATATAGTCAACAAATTTTGATAATACTTCACCATAAAAAAGAAATGCGAAATCTGATTACGATACCGAAATAAACATTAAATGTTCTAGGGCTAAGATTGATTTTTGTGAAAACAGGATAATTGTGTCAAAAATATAAACAAGATTTTATCAATAAATTAAGATTTATTATTGAAAAATTGAAATTTGAAGTAGCCAGGAATTCTTCAAAAACAAAGCAGAAAACAATGTCTTCGGAAATGTCCTTTCGCTCGCACGGACCTATGCAATATTTCTTAGACTCAACATCCGTAGATCATGAATGAGAATAAATTTCGGAAAAATTGAATTTAATGGTTGATGATATTATTTGATTGCAGAGAAATTGAAAAACATATTACAAAGGTACTAATTTCTTATAAAAAAAACTTTTCAAAGAGCTAGAATGTTTGAGCCCTTTGGATTTTATAATACTTATCGAATAATTGTCATTACATGCTCACTGCCATCTAAAAATAAACAATTATGAAACTTACCAAATAATTGTACTCGAATCTTTGAAGTATGCCGAAATAAACCTGTTGAGCTTTATGAAATCCACAGCAGCATTTTACATTTATTTCGTTTGTTTATATTTGTTTTTGTTTCTTAACTTGGAGTCACTCCGAACACTTCAACAGATTTTAATAGTTTAATGAACATTTGAGTGCTTAGTAGGCGAGTACTTTAGAATTTCAATTCGTGGTGCTGTTAGGGACATGTGTAAAAAAGAGTAAATTAATAAAAACGTTACAACCAATTAAAGCCATAACAACTGGGAATCATTCAAGAAAAAGTACGACTGCTGAGAGAAAATTGTACAACGATCATAGACGAGCTCTGCCCGAAAGCCGTCCCCTGCGTCTGTTATATTTCCAACTTAGGAATCGACCCATTTCCGGCCATGACCACAACTTTTGCAAAGCATTATAAATAAACACTATTGTAGCACTAAAAACTAAGAGGAAAAAGTGTGCAACTTCCATAATTTAATTTTTAAAGCCCAGAAAAAGAATATTCACCAAAATTAAAGTCTATCGAATTTCTCCGCAATGCCAAAAAAGTAGCTTTACCATATTACTATATCTGTAAAAGGGCTTTAAGAAGCTTATTCCTGAACTTTAACAGTTATGCAACAGTCAGAAGGACACCCAGTAGTAGAACTATAGTCAATAGATGAGATTACTGCGAATGGACGTACAGACTTCGCAGCATAATTATTGGGATCTTTGAAAAAGTTTGGCCAGCTTTCACACCAGCATGTCCCATTCTCACGGCTTACATACTCTAAGCTTATATGAGTTCAAGGATCCACAAATGATGTTAACGGAAGAATGTGTCACAAGTATTCCAAACCAAAAATACCATGATTCTTAAAACAAATTGTACACATATAATAATTTTACATTATTGGAAAGGTCTTTTTAATAAGTGCAAGTTCTGGCGTTTAGATATTATATCGATTTACAAATGTGATCGGCTTTCAGGAAAAAGGCTAGGGTCCCATTGCTTAATTCTCAATATTTTGTAGCTTTAAATAAAATGTAGACAACACAAAACCTATAAATTGTATTTCCAAAATCCTCAAATTCGCTGAGGATTCTACCTTTAACATCAACTCAGTTTCACACATTCAATCAATTCGGAATTACAAAAATTATAGAAAGCTAGATCTCAAATTCCAGCTTTCCAGATCATCTTTATCGATTTCCAAAATATGCTTCACAGAAAAACTTCGATAAACCAGGCCCAAGACAAAATTCAACAAACGGCGAGTGCTGTTTATTTTGTATTCTTTTTCCGGCCTGAAAAGTTTAGAATTTGCTTACAAATTTTGGAGCTTCACAGAAAAACTTTAATAAATCAGGCCCAAGACAAATTTCAACAAACGGCGAGTGTTGTTTATTTTGTATTCTTTTTCCGGCCTGAAAAGTTTAGAATTTGCTTACAAATTTTGGAGCACCCTTTCGCACTTTCAAATTTGAATATGCCAAAAATAATCTTCTTATTGCTCACCTACACTGTAAAGAGAAATTTGACTTTATATTTTAGCTTCCTAGCTCTTACCGTTTGGGAATTGATCACCAATCAGGCAGTCAGTGAGCCGATACAAACTATTTTATATATATAGAAAGAATTATTAATGCTTCAAACAATGTGAGCAGCTCAATTCTTTATTTGCTATTTTTCCACAACATGGATATCAGAGTTTTTGTTCAACTTCTCAAGACGTTTTTTTATGGGTAATAATTACAAGTATATTACTAAAGTTTTGTAAACTATTATTATAGTTCTATTATGTCCCCATTCAATAATTGGCGTTCATAGAATCTTGCAAATTTGTAATAAATTCTGTCTATAATTTTATGCAAGCATTGCCCCATATTCTGAAATACTTATGTACCTCCTCAATATCATCTTAGCATAAACAAAAGCAGTTCGTCTTTGGAGAGCTTCAAAAGCCCAAAGACCACACAACAATTTGTCTCTGGCGCCTTTGCAAATAGGTCAGTTTTCAAAAGACGATCACCTTTCAATTGAAGATTTGTAGACCCACAAGTATGCCTACAGACTGTGTGCCTCCACTTTCCTTTGTGTCTGTGTCGGTGTCATCGTCTGGCTTTGTTGTTTCTGTTGTTGCTGCTGCCGCGTATTGTAATAATTTCAATCAGTATGTAATAAGTATTACTAATAGCTTTTGTACTATTTGCCAACAATTACAGTTGTTGTTGCTGCCTTAGTTGGTCCATTGTTGTGGCCTCTTTGCCGGCATAACTTATTTGCATACGAATGCAAAGTGTCCGCTGTCGTAGCCATTCAATATTCAAAAAGCAATAAAATAATAATAATATTACCAAAAGCAATAGCAACAACAGCAACAGCAACAAGAGACAACAATACAGCAGCCGAGCGGCAGCCGCATTGACGGCAGACGTTGACCAACAGAGAGCATACAGAAAAAGCATCTTGAAGATACACTTATGCTGCCTTTTTACGGCGTATCTTTTACTTATTTGCGCGCACTTGAGGAACTTGGCCGATGTACAGTGGCAGTTGTGGACACTTTTTCGTGGCAGAAATAATATCAACTCAACAAATGACAAACTATTTATAACAAAATCGTTTAGGCCAGGAAGTTAAAGTAAAAACTGGAAACAGGAACCCAAAGCAACTAATCTTTACATAGAAAATGAAATTGCTGGCCATGAGATGAACAATTTTTTCGGCATTTCTGCAAATAGAGTCTACAACATTTTGTTAAAAATCAATTAAGGATTCAGTTTCTATAGGAAACATAATTTCTTTATGTAAAATATTCGAAACAGAGTTTCTTTTTAGTTAGTTCTATAGATAGCAGTATACTCTTACTATACGATAACAGTTTGACAATTTGTGATTGATTGTTCCATAAAAAGTAAAATACTGCCTGAGCTACTTTTGTGCACGTTTTAAATTCGAGTGCACATTGGTATATTGGTAAATTTTGATTACAAATCGTAATATGTAAATATTTATGGTTAAAATATACTGTTGTACAAATTAGAACTTGAAGTTTCCCACAAAGTTTAAAACAGAACTGACAAAATAAGAATAATTATAGATTCAAGCCCCAGAGATTTCGCAGTGCTTAAAACAAAGTTTTCAGAAAATGAAAGCAAAAATCCTGTCCATAAATGGAAAATTAAATATTTCCTCTAAAATACCAAAAGTGATGTTATATATGATCTGTCGATATACATATGTATGAACGATGCAGCCTTGTTAAAACACACAAAACTTCTCATCAAAGCGATGGTCTACAACAACGTTAATGTTAAGTATCAATTACAATTTTCTCTGGAATTAACTTATCCGTGTAACTAGCTATGTCAGAATCAGACAAAAATTGCATCGAAATACAATAAAAACAAAACAAAATAATGATTATTAATAAATATATAGAAAAACTTCCAAACCGAATTCGTACACAATTAGAATGATGAAAATTGTGAATTTTTAGCACGAATTTCGTGCGAAGATGCCACTGTACCTAGTCTGTGGTGGCTGCGTCTGTTTTTGTTGTTTTTGTTTTTATTTTTGTAAATGAAATGAAATCGAAATATGGGTCGGCGCTTGGTCTCTGAATGTCTCGTTTGACGATGCCTCCTCCTTCGCCGCTTCCGATGCCCCCTCGATCACTTTTGCCCGGCATGAACTCGAAACACACTTCCAACACACACCACCGTCAACACCGCCACCGCCACCACCACCACCACAACCACCACAAACGCCGCCAACAACAACAACATGAGCAGCACTTTGGCAAATAAGAAGCGAGCGAAAAGTAAAAATCGTCATGTAGCAAAATCTTCAGAAAAATTGTGAGAGCAGTGCAAAAAAGAAGCTGCTGTTGCTGCTGCTGCTGTTGTTGTTGTTGTTTTGATGAAATTGCACGAATTATTAACGTTTTATTTTTTTTCTCTTCCCTCTGCTCTGCTCTGCTTTTGTTGGCGTTTGTTGGTGCACTTTAAGCCCACGTTGCTGCCTGAAAGAGCTAAAGATGAGGTCTTCCAAAATACTCACAGGTGAAAGACACACACGCACACCCAGACAAACACACACACACACACACTCAGATAATACACATGTGTACACGAATTCAGACATAAGTTATAGTTATGGAGTCGAATCGTGCGAATAACATGAATTTAATTGAAACAACAAAGTCTGCGGCAATCGCTAATAATTACAAGTTGCAAAATGATCCTGGCGGGCAAATCAAAACGGCAATTCATTTTGAAAACGAGAAAATTTCAGATTTTACTTTTGAATTTCTTCCTACTGTCATGGTAGAGTTTTTGATTTTGATTTTGAAGATCGGCTTTAAAAACAGCTGTTGAAATTATTCTTTTATTTGTATTGATTATGATGTTTTTCAGATTGATTAAGGATTATTTAAAGGAAATCAAAGATGGTGGCGAGGAAGAAAATTAAATGAAATTTGAAAGCGATAAATTTTTAAATCAAATACAATTTTCAGGGTGATAAGAAAAGTTCCGTGATTGCAAAACAAAAATTAACAAATTGTGGTGAAGATAGACTTTTGAAAATTCTATTTACATAATTATTTAACTATTCTTTAATTTAAAGAAAAATAATTGTAAGACTATATGATTAGAAGACGATTACCGAAAATATAGTATATTTTCGATTGTTAGAATTATAGGATCTTAAAGAAAATTCTTAAATAAAATTCAATTTGAAAATGAGCGTAAATTTAAGATTTTCATTTTCAATCGGCTTTCTTCGTAGTATTATACATATGTATTTAAAAAAAAACCAATTTAATTATTTTTTATATTTTTAATGAACGCTGTTTTATATTTTTATTTCATTTTTAAATAAAAAATATAAAATATAAACCTCTAATATATTGTATTTTTTTAATGCTGTTTTTTATTACCAATTCATTCTTGATTGTTGGAATTAGGAGACCTCAAAGAAATTCAACAATATTACAAGATATACCCATAAGAAAAATGGTAACAAATTTATGAAATGATTCTTGATAAATGAATTAACCTGGAATTCGGTTTCAAGTAAACATCAGAGTTTCATCAGCAAACAACAGATAGATTGTTTTTAAATAAATATTTAAAAGTTTGACCCAAAAAGGCTGTTAAACATTAAAGAAGAAGGATAAGAATAACTTTGCGTCTTCAGCTGAGCAGAATTTATGGAACTAATTTAAGGAAAGATCAACAGCGGCACCTCGATTCAGTAACTTTCAGATCAGCATTTAACTGAAGAAATGAAATTGCAAAAAAAAACCTGAAGAATGCTAAATGACTACAAACTCAAAAGCTTTGCCACTTTCGTCAAATTGCTGACCTAACTAACAACAGAAGATAGTGTCTGAAATTCGACAATTTCAACAATTCTTAACTGAAGATAAAGCGCTATAAAACACAAATAAAAAATTTTCTCATTAGCTTCCGAGTTATCTATGCTCGTACGAGTTTCATGAAAATCTGCCAAAGCGCTTCCATGTCTCATTGAACAAGAATTTGCACAACGCGCACCAATAAGAAAATCCAATTCACAGCGGCGATTAATTTACACGCTGCATTTACATCGTTGTATTAAAAAACAAAATAAAACTGATGATAAAACGGGGGAAAATATGAAAAAATAAGCTACGCGTCGTATACGCACGCATTGCGAATTGCTGTCCCGTTTGCAAGCATCTTGAATTTGGTTTTTTATGGTTTATGTTTTAGGAGTGCGCTGTCATTTAGCCTACGCCAAAAATGCACGCACACACATGCACACGCACGCACGCACACACACACTTTATTCTTGTGGGTTTTATTGCATTTTATGCGAACGCACTGTGATTTAATTATAGTTGGGGAATGCTTACATTTTTCCTGCTTCAAATTTAGAACTGCATTTATGTCACACAAACACAAACAGAAATGGAAACCGAAAGAGTGGCACTAATTATTGCGTTTATATTCATTTTAGTCGTTATTAGCATTAAACTAAACCGCAAACATGTAGAGGCCTCGTAGCGAGCGAAACAACCGGTACGTCCGAATACGGCGACGCGCACTTGTTAAATGAAAATGAAGATCGTTGCGGCAACTGCGACCGACCGACCGACCGACCGGCAAGCAGCAGCCCCAGCGAGCGCCAAAATCAGCTGTGAGCCAAAAAGCAGGCTAGCATGGGTGTTGAAAAGGGGGCTAACGCGTCCCCCATATGATGCATTAAATGCGTTAAAGAGCTGTAATATATGCACTACATTTACGAATTTGTACAATTATGCTAACTAATCTTATTATTAGGAATGTTATAGAAAAAGTTTGGACTGCTTTTTGTTCAGTTTAATTTTAAAATGTGTTTATTTATAATATATTGTTTAGATTCAATAAATGTTAACTAACTTTTTCTTAGCAAATACTAAAATATCTTTCTTTGAAGAAAGAAAATGCCTGAAATAAAGTTTTTTCAATATGTGCAAGCGATTCCATTTTTTTCTACTTTCTTAGGAAAAAACTTATTGGAAAAGGAGAAGTAATTAAGTTTTTTGAACCCAAAATAAATAATAAATCAAATAATAGCATATAATATTAATTTAATGATGTTTACTTTATGAACTCTGCACAATTTTAATAAATAAGTGCATCACTTAAGCAATACATTTTTCATTGCCTTTTAAATGCCAACACAGGGCGCTATAAATACCAACTGCTAGTATTTCTGTGCAGGAGATGGTCGCCTTCAAAATCCAGTGCTGCCAACTCACTACTTTCACATAATGTAATGCTGTTCTTTTTTGGCCACGTTGACAGCGCAGCATTTATTATATATGTATATGGTCACTCTATACATTTCATTAATTTATTTACTTTGCGTTAAATCCAAACTTTACGCATTTATTTATTAAAAAGCACATTTAAAGTGCCTTTTGTTACTGGTATTGGCGTATAAGAACAAACTGGTGCGAATAACATTCAAATGTAGAACAAATTTAGCTCTTTGGCACGTTTGCCAAGTCTTGAAATATTTGGGCGTTGACGCTGCCTCGTTGCTAATTGTAATCGAAGGGCGCGTCACAGCTTCAATTGTTTGGAAAAACTTATTGAGTAAATTCTTTCGTTTGCAGTGCAATGGTGGTGTTGAGCTCCTGCTGGTCGCCCATAATATGGTCGGATAATGTACGGACAGGTAATATACGAATTGCCATTATTTGACCCATTCATTATCCTTAATACGGATGCTTATTGCAGGTAGCTATGCTGTGGCGGCCTACACCGCTTCTCTGTCCGCGGTGCTCATCACGCTGGTACGTTTGCGGAAGACTTAATCGGCCTTAAAATATTAAGTAGACCTTGTGCTTTGTTGCAGATTGTTTATATGTTGTGTGGCGGCGAGTCTGCGCAGCTTTATTCACCGCTCTTCGAAACTGATATTCGAACTACGATGCCAGTATGGGGCAGTTTCTATATAATCTATTTTATATTGATTATAATTGCCTCCTATTTGGTCTACTATGGCATTAAGATCAACACACGAGGCTGGCTCCTGCCCTGGCTAATTTTAGTTGGCTTGGCCATTCTGTTTCAGTTCTGCTGGAGTCTTTGGCTAATTGGAGGCTATTATATATATGTGAGTATTGGATTATACCTATATTCAAATGTAATTTATTCCGATCTGCTCTTTTGTAGCTGGAGCAAACATTCTCGGCGCTGCTGAATTTTGTCTGGGTCGCCTACAATGTGAGTTTTGCCAGAACTTAACAAAAATAAACAATTCGTTCTAATTCATATAACCAATTATTTTCAGGTATATTGCTGGCTGGTCGTATTCTCGCAGTATCAAATATTCTTGGTCTTACAAAACCCCAATATTGAGCTTCTAATGCCATAGTTCTTGGCAGCTTCAATTCAATGCACAAAGAATGCTCGAATATTTTATAAACCTTTTTTAACAACGAGCCTTACGATGAACTCACACAAGCAAGTCACTTGATTATTTAATTTCAACAAAATCCGCTTTCCGTCTTGCATTTAAAAAGCCAAATAAGGTCGAGTGTCTAATATTATTCAATATTTTTTTACAAATATCAACTCTGAATCTCTGTATTATTTAAACAAATGACTCGATTGTGTGAACTCGCATTTAATTTTAAGTATGTAGCCATTTTGACAAGAAATCCGTCCATCTCCAGAAATTATGACAATGCATTCAAGACCACAAGTGTCTTCTAAAAATTTAAAACATACATACATATATACTATACATACTTTTTAGCGTAAATCTTATATACAATTATCTTTTTTACAAAGTTATTTTGTATTTTGCCTGAACATCTTTTAATACATCAAGTTATTTTATTATATTTGTACCAGAGTCCATTTATTTGTATCAACTCTGGGCAGCTGCCTGTTCGTCCACAATGTCAGGCGGCAATTCTATGTGCACAGCAGCTAGTGCCTCGCGTATCCAAGTGGGCAAGGGCTCCCCTTCGAAATGTCGTGCCATAAAATCTCGTACGAATTGTGGAAATTCGTTGCGATGCACTGCCTCACGCATGCCACGCATCAGGCGCAGTTGATAGGCCACATTGTGGACTGAAAGAAGGGAACAGGAGACACTCTCGTTGGTGGCAATGTGATGAAGATAGGAGCGTGTGTATCGTAGGCAAGTGCTGCACTCGCATTCCTTGTCTATGGGCTGCATATCGTGCTTGTACTTTTGCTGCTTCAAATTCAGTTGTCCGCGATCCACTAGAGCACAACCGAATCTCGCGGTACGCGTTGGAAATACACAGTCGAACATATCAATTCCTAAAGCGACGCAAACGACCAAATCCGCCGCAAAGCCCACGCCCATTAGATATCTCGGCTTATCACGCGGCAATCGATCCGTGCAGACATGTACCATGCGCCAGAAGTCGTCCTTGCTCTCGCCGCCACTTAAGCCTCCGACGGCAAAGCCACGTACACGTCGCTCGATTAATGCGGAGACGCAACGTTCACGTAGCGGCGTCTCCAGGCCACCCTGCACAATTGGAAATAAAGACTGATCATCGTCCCTCGCATGTGCTTCAATGCAACGATCCACCCAACGTATAGTGCGCTCCATAGCTTCCTCCACTCGTGGTCCAGTAGTCGTCGTCTTCACCACATCGTCCAGCTGCATCATTATGTCCGCTCCAATCGCATTTTGGATCTGTATCGAATGCTCCGGGGTCAGCATGCACTCACTATTGTCGAAGGGCGAGCGAAATTTGACACCATGCTCGTCGATCTCAGCAAGCTGCAGCAGCGAAACCATTTGGAAACCACCTGAGTCCGTGAGTATGGCCCTCGGCCACCCCATAAAGCTGTGCAGACCACCGGCGCGACGCAAAGTCTCAATGCCGGGCCGCATGCCCAGGTGATAAGTATTGCCCAGCAGGATTTGGCAGTTCATTTCGATAAGCTGATCCGGCAGCACGCCCTTTAAGGTTCCCTGCGTACCAACTGGCATGAAGACGGGTGTGTCTACCTCGCTATGCCTATAAATTAAATAATTATAAAAATGTACATATGTGTAGCCAAAATTTAAGAGCACTTCTGCAAACCTGAGGGTCATGAGACCGGCGCGTGCTTTGGAGACGGAACACTCCGCCACGACCTTGTAGGTCAATGGTGGAATCTTACTGGGACTCATTTGAGTTGCCAGAAGTGGTTAAACTAATCAAAAGAAAGTATTTTTAGTTAAAAATGTAAAAAAACAATTCGTCAGTGCACATGTGCTCAACGGTTGAGTAGCTGATGCAGAGCGGTTGTAAATTAGTGATGTGCAAAGTGAATCGATAAGTCGTCGGCAAGAGTGGGCTTTTTGAAATGCACATCACTAATTTAAATTGGGAACGCAAAAACTTCGAAACATGGAATGCTTCACTAAAAATGTTGCCAAAAACGGCGGCTTTATTCATTAAAATTCTGCTTACGTTTAAGGATCATATGAATATCAACGTTTATTACCATTAAGTGTATTATTAAATTTACGCTGTGTTTTAATATAAAGGTATTTGTACAATTACTTGAAATCAAAATAGGCGCACCTTTAAACCTCTAATAACTAAAACAATGTTGATTCTTTTTGTTGTTATGTGCGTCCTGGAGGCGATGGAAATGGGATGTTATATCGATCGACCAAAACCCTAGCCATTTTGATTTTCGAGCGCTTAAACTAGTGCGGCGTAGTTGGGGATAAAGGATGAGAGGGGCTGGGTTGGTGCGTGTGGTTTGTTAACCGAACTAGACATCTTAAAAGCGATTAATTTACAAGAGCGGTGCTAGGTGATTATGTCTAACTACAAACTGCGCTGGTGTTTGACACAAAAACGTTGCTAAACTTAAATGGGTGTATTTATATGTATGTGCATAAATATTGAGCGCGAGCCATTTTGTTTAGGTCTTTTCTTCCTTCTCTTTGTTGTAGCGTTCCAGCTCCTTGAGAAATTGCGCCTTGGGCTTCATGACATTCGGTCGCTCACCGCGACAATTGGGACAGAACCATTTACCCTTGGGCTTCAGCACCAGCGACACGCACGAAAAATGGAACCATTCGATGGGACACAAATCGTTGTCGCAGAGTATCATTTCGCCAAAGGAGATCTACAAAGGAAAGAATCGAAATCTTTGGCAAAATTGCTTATTGTCAAAAGAACTATCGCGCTTACCTGATTGCACACACAATATGTGGGCTCATCGGGATCAATCGGTTCGGGCGGCGGCGTCTCCTCGCGTGCATTAGCCGCGGTATTCGAAGCGCCAGCGCCGCGTACCTTCCTTTTTTTCTTTTTGCCCGAATTGTTGCCACCACCTCCGCTACCGCTGCCTGCATTGCCACCACCCGCTCCACTCGACAGGCTTCCACCCGCCGCCTGGCCATTGCCCTTGCGCTGACCTACACCACCGCTGCTCCCGCTGGCCAGATTGTTTTTACGCTCACCATTGCCATTGCCGCTGCCACCAGCCTCATTGGCCGAATTGGACTCGTTGCCGCCCAACTCTATAGAGCTACCATTATTGGCCAGACTCTCATTGCGCCGTCGCGAGCGTTTGCTGCCGGTGCGCTGCAAATCACCACCACACCCACTAAGATTGCCATTCGATCCATTGGCGCCATTGCTTAAATTGCTGGAACGCTCAGAGTTGGGCGTTGAACTGCCGCAGTTGGCGCCAACAGAGCTACCGCCCGCAGAACCTCCCACAACACTGCCATATGAGGCCACAACATAATGTTCCTTGGTCGCATAATTGGCGCCGCTGCTACCCATGCCATTGCCATTGAGAGAATTACCATGCGTTGCCTGATCTCGGATGGGGCTCTGTAACCGCTGCATTTTCGAGGGTGGGCCGTCGTCTAGGCCGACAAAGTGATCACGGTCTTCCTTCAAGTCCAGATTCTGCTGATCCGTGTCCAACTGCCGTACCTTCGCATCGATAATCTCTTGCATGTAGCTTACAATCTGCATCTTCTCGTCACCCAGCTCCTGCGCTTGTACCAAGCACTGATGCATTCGCGCTATGGTCCGTGCACGTTTACCTACATCTGGTGTGCATTGCATCGACATATACAGGTCATAAAAATGATCCACGTCGCGAATCAGACCTGTCAGCAAAGCAAAGCATGGAGGTTAGGATTGGACCCTGAGAAAAACAGAACTGACTTACCCCTGTACTGAACATCGATGTCGCGTATGCGTGACAATTGGCGCTGCACATCGTCAGGTAGATTCTCTACGGAATCTATGTAGTTGTCCACATAATTGGCTGAGTTTATGGCCTCCGTTGCAATTGGATTTATCATTTCGGTTTGTAAGTGCTGCTGGTTCGCGCCGCTACGACATCGAAAGAGTGTGTGGAACACGCCTAAAGGGACAACTTCAGCAATCGTTGCTACTTTAACTGGGCAGCTTTGTAACTTTGCTTGAGTTGTAGTTTTTTGCGTTGGAAATAACACTTCCACTTTTTTTGTATGGTGCTGCGACTGTACGCTTGTGTGCGTATACGTATATATGCATATATATATATATATATACGTGTGTGTGTTTGTGCACGTACATACAAGTTATCGATTGCATTAGTACTGTAAAACTTTAGCAACACTAGTGTGTGTATCGACCTATAATTTCAACTGTGAGTATCGAGTACGAATACTTCAGCGGGAACACGCATTGGTAGCACTAGCAGAGCAAGTAGAAGTATAGGCAGCACTGCTACGGCACTGCATTGGTTCAAACTCTCTTTGTCTTTACGAGCGTGCGGTTGTGTTTTATTCGAATTTTTGAATTATACCGGTCTCTTAACTTGCAATATTTTGTGTGGTTTAGTGCATTTACTAAAAACAAAGAGCTCCTTGCATTTTTTGTGCGCACATTTTCAAGTAAATATCCTTCGTGTCCTTTGCCGCCGCGATCGCGTACTACTGTGAAGTTTACCGCAAGAAATAAATCGAAATTTTCAATTCGCTCTTTAAATCCGAATAAAAAGCTATAATCAAAATGATTTCCAATTTCGATGGTATTACCGACAACAACAAGCCCAGCAGCAAGTAAGTTATAATATTAAGTGCTTGCCAAATAATTATTTGTGTTGTTGCCAAGGGCTGCCATTTTTCCGCAACATCTGCATGTAAGCATATGTTTGCATGTGTGAGTGTGCACGATCATTCACTTTTCCGTTCTCTTGGCGTTTATCCTTTTTTGCCTGCTTGTTGATTGCTGTCGCCACGCACCTTTTCCAGTCTCATTTTCAGAAGCATCAGGTACCAAACTTTATATCGTAGTTCAAGTTACAAAACAAAAAATCTTGCTTAACCCATAATGTTATCGCGCTTCCTTTTAATTGTTGTCCCATAAAATAATAGCGGGCTCTCTCTCTCACACACTCAACAGGCGACGCGCCGGCTATCGGCATCGAGTTCTTGTTGTTTATTTGCTCTTTTTATTTCCCATTCAATGGCATTATCGCTTGTTTTCGGTCACTTAAAGCGCAGATAAATTTGTTTGTAATTATGTATATATGTATGTCTGTACATTTGTAAGTATTTACTTATGTAAAAGACCCGCACTCTGTATTAGCAGTGGATCGAATAGATCGTATATCACAATTGTTTATTTTTTTGCAGCGTTCGCAGTTTGCAGCTGCATTTGGTTTGCAAACTGCCGTTATCTGCAGGTACTTGTCTATCATCCTATGCTGGCAGGCATTTTGTTCAATCCATGACTCACCAAAGAGCTTTTCTCATGCACATACGTACATACATACATGTATGTATGTATGTGCATATATGTATATGTATACTTATGTATATTTGCTTTTAGCAATTAAATAAATTTGACTTGCTCATGCGCTTGCGTTTGTTGTTGTTAGTGCTGGTTTGTTGCCAGCTAGCCATCAGCCGTTATTTTCTTTTCTTTTTTGTATTCCCCCACCATTTATTGGCGCCTTGTCACTTTGCATGCCAACAAATTTTGAGCCTCAAACCGCGCTCTTAGCTCGTCATTTGGGGCGCCTTTATCGTTAAATATTTTTTGTTTACTCGCATTCAAATCGCAATACACACAACTGTATAAGCAAACGAGCATTTATTTATGCCTCTGTGTTTGTACATACATGTACATGCATACATACATATGTATGTATGTATTTTGTCATTTTCGCATTTCCTCTTTGGTGATATGAAAACGAAGAAGGGCCGTCTTGAAGCCCCAAAGCAGACGGCTGGCATTTCCGTTTTTGTTTTATCATCATATTCTTGGCTTTTAATACCCTCTGGTTAAGTATTAGAACTTCAGTGGAGTACTAGAGATGGAAATAAATAAAAAATGTATCGTCAACCCACTATCTGTAAAATGTTATTGCAAATAGCCGGCACGACAGTTATATGTATGTATGTATATTAAGTGCAATACTGCAGTAGGAGCTTGCAAAGGAACGATTGGAACAAAATTCAATTTTAGTGGATAGAACTTATTACATATAGTTTTTTTCATATAGTGCCTTAATATATTCTCTTTGGGGACTGTAGAAGAATTGACGGTTGTATGAAATATAAGTACATGTCAGACTCACCAGTCTTGTTTGCATTTACACAATGTTAGTATGGATATTTCTTACATATACATACATATGTTGTCGGTTGCCGTCAAAAGCAATTTCTTACGGATATTGGAAAGAAAATGCCGGAATGGTTTATGTAAGTGACATTCTTTTGAAAAATATGGCTATAATGTCAAAAGATTAATCCGTCTATATAAAAGCTTTCAAGCGTTAATAAATTCACCTCCTAAGACATTTGAAAGCAACTAAATAACCTTTATTATGGGAATACTATTTTTAAGTATAATCGCTGTGCCAAAAATATATAACTTAAAAGGGTGTCTAATATTTATAGCACCGAAAATATGCATATTATTTTGGTTTTTTTTTTTCATGATTTTCAGTACTTTACAATCATCGGGTTCTGCCCCATTCTCGTTCATCCTTTGTGTTTGCTTTCCCAAGTGACAATGCACATACATACATACATACATATGTAATATGTATGTATACATGTGGTATTCACATTTCTGGTCCTCATCGTAAAGGTTTTTGGCCTTTAATGATTGATCGATTGAACGGTTGCAGCAGTGAATAAATTCATATTTTTAAGCCGACTTGTGTGGGTGCGATAAAGAATCAAATTGTCTTCAATTAATTAAAGTTTAGTATAGTTTATAGCTTTTATATCTTTCTTGGCAATCTGAGGCAAGTGCCAATTGATTGTCAGTAATTTTAGCAGCTAAAGTTCCAATAGTATAACGCCCTTGGCAACCAATATAATAACCATTGCCAATACAATGCGCTGCTAACGATTCCTGTGCTGGCCGTTATATTCAATTGCTGGCCATATTGGTGGTGGTTGAACCGCTCTTCTGCCATACGCTTGCATGCATTTCGTTTGGAGATTCATTAATAAAAATTATACCTACAGTCATTCATAGAAATAATGAAGCAAGTGCAGGCAACCATCTTTCCTTCCTTCCTTCCTTGGTTTTGTAAACAAAAAAGTAGTGCAACTCATTTAGCAAATTGGACACACTTGACTTATTACGTCAGTTCTAAGCCAGCTTAAATGCCAATAAATCGTTAATTTCATGCAAATCCACAAAAAGTTAGACCCTGATGGTGTTCCGAGTACGCTCTTTAGCTGCACTGCTCGGTTAGGGGTGGTTTCGTCAACCATTTTGACAGCTGAAAATCGTTCCAATGAGGTATGATATGCACATGTCGGCTTAGCTTCTAGTTAGACTGCACTTTCCAGGAAGCAGGAAGTGCGACCCCTGAGTCGCTTAGGCACCTGAGTCATGTCGACTCGGTGGATACTTCTTTTTTCTTATATTTAGTGCAGTACGATTCAATCTAGAGCTGTACTTAGGTCCGAATGACGGGGTCAATTGGTAATTAGATAATATGACACTGTACTTTTTTCTCTTTGTGTACAATGGCATGAGAACTTTTTAAAACCTGCAGCTGCATTGATTGCTACATGTCATTATTTTCAAACGGCATTAAATGTAATTGCAAAATAATAGGCTCGACTTATTATGCATTATGACATTGCTTTAGTGTTAGTCAGACAATTGAAAAGCTATACGTGGAATGCGTGAAAATTTGAAGGGCGGTTGTGTTATGTTATGTTAAGCAAAAATTCTATAGAATGGATTTTTGTCGACTGCATTCCCTTCTTTCCCAGCCTTAAATTTCCATTCATGCTAGCAGATTGGTCAGCTTCTCAAAGTCCTTTTGGAAAGGTGGCTGAATTGAAAGAAGTAAAAATAAAATTAGATGAACACTTGAAGACCGTTTTCATTGTCGAGCTTTAAAGTGTGTAAAAAAATCGGTAGATTGATTTTGAATTCTTTTGTATTATGTACTGCACTCATATTTGTATTCACATATGGTTTTTGGCAAACAGTTCATGGTCAGTGCCAGGCCATCGCCAGCGCTCATCCAACTTCCGTCCGCAATGAAGTTATACGGCACCCAATAATTTCGTTCATTAACCCACGCATATGTATGTATGTATGGACAAAATGATGGTGTATTGAAGCACATGCTTACATGCAATTCAAATTCAAATCAAACCCAAGCGCCTCAATATGCAAAATGGTCATGCAAACATTGCAATAAAGGCGTGGGTTGATTTTTTCTTGACGTTGCCGATGGCGTGAGCGTAAAGAGTTATCTACTTGATACTCGTATATACAAACATATGTACATACATACGAGTATAGTATGTCTATAGCTTGTTATATGCATATATGAGCAGTTAAGGATTGCAAAGAAAATCACTGCGAAGCAAATTATATATGAATATCTACAATGCATTGGAATTCATTTCTCATATTTTGCCAATCACAATGCGCCTCTCTGGCAACTATGCTTAAAAAATAGTTGGCGGCGACTTGCGTACAACGACTGCATTGTAAATGAGACAACAACAGCAACTACAACAACACTAACTGACAGCAATTGCATGACCAATTGCAATTTGAACAACAACACTATCGTCGCTGACGTGACGTTAAGGATCTTTACATAGGCAGTTCAAATGAAAGACAGAAAGAGAGGGAAAGAGACCAATTGAATAACGCTTCCTGGTTCTTCACTGAACAAAGCAAATTACTTCTGTATATGTTAAAAACTAATTAAACCCATGCTGAAAAGTAAATTAAGTGTTGTCTGAATTTATAACTGTCTGCCAAACACTTGAGTGAGCAGCAGGAAAAGATCGTTGCTCTGTCGGTCAGTGGTCTGCACGAGAGAATTTCAAAGTGCAGTGATTCAGAAAGAAACGACCAGCATTACTGTACATATCACAAAGCATAAGCATAGGTACTAATGTACCCAATATACAAAATATTAGCGGAAATAATACAATGCACATTTAATAAAACCCATTAAATTCTTAGGGAACTCCTTTGGAATACAATATTA